TAAGGAAAGGAGTATTCAAAACAAGAGAGGGCCTCACGTGCCGAGTACTGTGGGAAATGTAGGAGAGAAAGTTTTCATAGATTTAGTTTCTATGTCGGAAACTGTGAGAAAGAACCATTATATGCTAACAGTACAGGATGGATTCACAAGATTTGCTAGTGCTTATCCCATTTGCAACAAGGAGGCAGGCACTGTGGCTAGAGTGTTGATAAGGGAGCATTTCAGCATCTTTGGTCTTCCAAACCAGATCCATTCCGACAATGGATCTGAGTTTGTCAACAAGTTATGGATTGAACTATTCAGTGAGTTAAAGATTTTGCATACCAGAACCCCTCAATATAATCCCTCCTCCAACATAGTGGAGAGATGGCATAGAACAATAGTGAGTATTCTGAGAACCATGGGCAGGGAGATGCAAAATGAATGGGATCTAGGGGTAAAGGCGGCTTGTCTGGCCTACAACACTACGGTGCATAGTAGTACAGGCCAGACTCCGTTCTTTGCAACCTTTGGAAGAGAAGCCATAGTTCCCATCCATTGGGTTTATCCCATTCCAAAACCGGATGTGGAGAAGGACGTAACTGCCTGGACGGAAACTATACAGGAGAGATTCCAGACTGCCTATGCTGGGATGAGAGATAAACAACAACAAGCAGTACGAAGAAACGCTCAATACTACAAGCCAATCCTGCACCAGTTCAACATAGGTCAGTGGGTATGGATCTTTGACCCGAGAATAGTCCCAGGCAGCTGTGACAAGTTAAGGTCGTATTGGGCGGGGCCCTACAAGATAATTAGGTTAATGGCCCCAGCACTGGCTGAGGTGATCGCGGTATACGAGCAAGGAAAACCAAGGATCGTTAGCATAGACATTCTCAAGGAATTTAGAGGGGAGAACAATGTCCATGGTTTCCCCAGTGACCCCCCCCACCCCCAGTTTCCAGGGGGGGATGAAATTACGGAAATTCCTAACCTGGAGATAAAGGGACCGAGAACAGAGGAGATCAAAATACAAGAGAGACAGCTGGACCGAATAGAACGAGACCCCAGAGAAAAGATGGACAATGCAGGTCAGACAGCGCCACAGGAGGTCGTACAGACTGACCGCGAGACACAGAGCACACCTGACTAGGAAGAGGCCAGGGGGAACCCCCCCCATCCCTAGACTTAGACGGAGAAGTAGAGATGCAAGGAGGGGAAGAAAGAGGGGCGGAAAACCAGTCTGATATCAGATTAGAAAACACAGAAGAGCCGACCCTGCTGACCGATGATCGAGGAAACGTGATAGAAGAAAACGTGATAGGAGAAAACGTGATAGATATGCAGGAGAAGGGTGCAGGGATCAAGAGGGGTCAAGCAGAGTGCGTGGATAGTAGAGTCAACGGTAAATGGCGGAGGAGAGAAGGGATAAAACGGGAATTACGTGATATCACACCAGTGAATTACGAGGAATATGATCCTAACTGGGATCTGGAGGACCAATCAAAGAAATGTAAAATGGCGGTAAATTGTTTATTGGCCGGCTGCGGATGTAGGGGAGAGGCCGCCAGTAGTGAACCAATAAGAAGGGAGAAAGGAGATGACGTCAGTGCAGCAGAATACAGCCGGAATCCGACGCCGCCAATACTCGTGATAACAGGCGCTGCTGGGACCCAGGACAAGGCCGTGACAGTACCACCGGTATCAGTACCAGGCCGCAGCAACCATCCGAGCCAGTACAGCGATACCTCGACAGATCTGAGCGCCGATACAACCAGATCAAGTTCAAATCTTACACTGGATAACAGTATTCAGTCGGGTAGTAAACCAAGGAGGATTCAGACATCCTGGAGCAAGAAGATTTTCAAGATAATGCTGACGTTGATGTTGTTAATGACCACCGTTATGAAGGCAGAAGGAATCGATGAATGGCGAGAATCACCCTTCCGGGTTAGAGCTTACGATTGCAGTACACCTGGTGTGATCAACAAACTACACCTACCGGAAAACTGCTTTATACCAGAGGAGAAGTTACCTGAGAAGTTGACCGTACCTAAGCCAGCTTGGGTTCTCGGGGAGGAGTACGTCCATGAAATTTCCGGTGTGGTTTGCTCTGCTACAATATCCCGTTTTCGGGGGTATTGTGGAGCTTACTCACACTGGAAGTTCATGGACGTACCGGAGGTGGAGGCCGACGAGCCTGTGACCCTAGAACAGTGCAAGTCGGCCTCCAAGGGGTGGTATAACTCTCCTGACGGTAAGAAGGTGAAGATCGCACCGGGAGAAACCATCCTCTATCAATATATTGAAGATGGGAGTATCACGGTGCATCCAACCAATACGTACTGTCAGGGGGTGTCACTCCCCCTACATAGGGGCACTGTCGCAGATCAGACCTTGATATTGACCCAGATCCGTTTTTCCATGATCCGTGAAGTTTATCTCCGTACAAGAGGCGGGAAGACAGCTGCAAAATTTGCCCGAGTTTCGCTCCCCCCTGGCTGCTCCAAAGAATGGTGCTTGGATGGATCTCGTGTTTATCTGTTGGATGATCAAGCTCAAGGTTGTCCGTTCAAGAGAATCCGCTCCCTCAGCCTGAGAGAAGAAGGATCATTTATGATCTCCGAGGACTTGTCTATGTTATTCAATGTAACAAAAAAAGACGTGCTCCTGACGCCTGGCTGTCCACAGATGACTATCTATCACACCTCCCTAGGCACTGTATCCCTCACATTTGATAAGAGAGCTGCTGGACTCCCTGAGGTTGTGAGTATGGACGTGAGAAGTGACCAGGACCTGATCCCAACGTTGAAGTTTTTAGAGCACCAGAACTCCCGTGCTCTGGTTAGCCTTAATGATAGAGTCGAGCGTGGTGGTTGCTCCACTTGGCTCAACGTGCGGAACGACCAGGACTATCTCCACCCCTTGCAGCGTGATCCTGGCCTGTTTGTTCGACGCCAAGGGGAAGTAGTGTACGAGTATCAATGTACTCTGATTGAGGTTCCAATTGCAGAAACTCCAACATGTTTTAGCGGAATCCCAGTGTTGGTCCGTGGATCAAAGTACACGGCGGATCTAGATACTAGAGTCATCACTCCACATCTTTCTGCTCAGCCCTGTAACGATCTGTACCCGATACTGGTTAGATCGACGACTGCCGGCTGGATCTCAGTGTCAACCAGAGTTTTGCAGATTCCAGCTCCTTTGAAGATGGAGATAGCCAGTTCTTATAAACCTAGTGAACAGGTTTCCACTCTCTACACCCTGGACGAGCTCCAACATTGGGAAGACTATCAACAACTACCCACATTCCAACACTCCCAACACCAGCGAATTCTGAACGCTCTCTGTGATGGTGAATCCTGCAGCTATGGAGGACAGAGTGCCATGGCAGGAATGAACCTAGAAGATTTCCAGAGACATATTCGAGAGGGAAGCCAAAATATGTTAGCGTCAATGAACCCTTTTGGTTTTATATCAAAAGAAATCGAGCACCTAAAAACGTGCCTCAATACGTTGCTCTTAATCGAATACAGTGTGTTAACTATTTCTGTCATAATAAGTGTCGTCCTCTATGGAGCTACTGCTACTCTAGGAGCACTAATAACTAGAATGACCCTAAACTGGGCCCTATTGAAAAGCCGGAAATGCCCGAGAGTGGAAAGCGTCCAGCTCGAACGATTGGTTCCTAATATATAAGTATACCGTTTTCGATTGATTTGTAATAAATGATAAACGGGTATAAATCCCCCCCCCCTGATTTGTAACATATACTCTGTAGTAACGCCATCTATGTTATCCATGTTCTTAATGCTATCTATCTTATCTATGATTATTATTAATTCTTAACGATTTGTACGTTGACCCTGTCGGGCTAGCCCGGTCAGTTCATTCACCTGTATATAAAAATAAATCAGTTGAGTACTACTCGTTGTTTTACACAGTTGTGCCTTGAGCCTTGAGTTTTGGCTAGAGAGAGAGAGAATCAGTTAGATTCTAATTAGAGTTTGAGTAAAGTTATCACATCTAGATTTCTTACATGGCTGATGAGAGGTTCTGCTTCAGTAGCAGAGATAGTATTGCCAAGAGTATGGAGATCCTCATAAGCAAGTGGAGATGTCCACGAACAGTTGCTGGCATTCTTTGTAGAAATATGTTCAATAACAGAGGAGACATTGTATGTCAAGTGGGACACAGAGCCAACATTGAATCCATAAGATAAGATGGTTTACCTTCTCCAATACCAGGCATAGAGCCTACATTTCAGCTTTCTCAAGATCAGTATGAGTATATTTCTTCAAAAGACAGAGTTTCAGAGCAGTGCATGGGTGTTCACAGAAATCTGTCAAAGTAATTTCTCCATCATTCAGCCCAAAACTGGGGCCTTGAAAGAGCATTTGTTTCAGCCATTTTTCTAAATACTTAAGGGTCACCACTGTTAAGATTATATATTTACTGATACTTTAGGATACAAATATATTACAGATTATATAAATATGTTGAAAAGAAGCTTGAATATCTTCTCTTGTTCCTGGTTCCTGTCCGACTAACTCCTGGATTTCTTTTTCATTCTTCCCGGATTGTATCCTTCCATCTCTTGGGGATTCCTAGTTTATGATCTCTACAGTTTGAACTAAGCAAAAACAGAACAGCTTGAAAAAAGGCGTGCTTTTAAGTAACAAGCCATAGATTAATAACAATACAGATAGAATACTTTAGGGGGTTTTCATTCAGAATAACCCTAAGGAAGAAGCCCAAGGGAATTATGGGCTTGCTCTTTCTCTGTCTTTTAATTCAACACTGCATGCGCTTAACTTTTAGTGTTCTATCTGTTAATGTTAATTAATCTATGGAATTATAAGCCCTCTTCTGTACACCTTAAATACCTGGAGGTAGGGGTGATCAAATGTTTTTTTAGTTCCGTTCATCCATGCATAGGAATCTTTGTTGAAGTTTAACGGAAAATCCTTCCCAACCCCTTCTGCTCTTTGCTGGAACCTTAAAAATAAAGGGACTGTAAGCGGAATATTAATTAACCCACTTTCAAAGATGGCCATGCTTGATTTACAATGGTTCCTTTAAAAATAGAATATTTTTTAAAGGCTTTAGCACTAAAATGCAAGCAAAATTCTGAACTGGATGGAAGGGAGAAGAAGACTTTAAAGTTTAGGGAGGGGGGGGGGGCGCATTTCAGATATGTATTTATCGGGTGCGGAGAGGAAGTTATACGGGTAAAAAATCCCCTCCCTCCTGGAAATTTTTACAGGGAATTTTTGTGTCTTAACCATGACCAGCTGGGGGCAGACGGGGATAAGTGATCCCAAGATTTAAAGTTTTATAAAAATATTTATTTTGAGTAATTAAGTGGGGCCACAGGAAAGCAAAATTTTTAATCTTTTTAGAAAGTAGGCGTCCCTCTTCCGCCCCCTCCCCCACCTTAAGCCGACTTTGGCAATACTTCATGGTTCATTAAAGGTTCTGTCAAAACTATGTAAAATTTAATTAAGATACAAAACCTCCCCATACAATTGTACTCTGAAAGCGTACTGTATATTTGATGTTTGTACTGTATGAATAGGCCATACTCTCTTAATATCCTATATCAGTAAGCTATCTTAATCGTACACTCAGGCTAATACACACAGCCAGGTATCTATGTTCCAGCCAGAATAGGCCATAATCTCTTAATATCCTATATCAGTAAGCTGTCTTAATCGTACACTCAGGCTAATACACACAGCCAGGTATCTATGTTCCAGCCAGAATAGGCCATAATCTTTTAACATCCTATATCAGTAAGCTGTCTTAATCGTACACTCAGGTTAATACACACAGCCAGGTATCTATGTTCCAGCCAGAATAGGCCATAATCTCTTAATATCCTATATCAGTAAGCTATCTTAATCGTACACTCAGGCTAATACACACAGCCAGGTAGCTAAGTTCTAGCCCTCTGGCTGGAACCTGTAAAAGTATATGGGCACTAAATTCCTGCAAATGTTGCTGCTTTTTTTAATTCCCTTTACTCTTTATAATATTCCGGATGTTTTAATAAGAAATCGATAAAAGAAAACTAGCTAAAAATATTACGGCATGTACGTCATGAACGTCATGAACGCTATTTAAAGTTTAAATGGCGCCAAATGAAGACGACGGTAAAGATAATATTACCCTGCCGAGATAGTATTTAAAGTTCCTGTCGCCACCATTCCCACCACAATAACTATCTGGAAAGTAGACCAACTCATCCTGCCTCGAATCGACGTCTATCTAAAACGCCTGAAAATTGACAACAATGTCAGGGGAGAGAAGTTTAATAAACTATTTTCGTTCCAGTTCTGCGTAAAATGGTTGTGAAGCCCAAACACTCGTATACAATAATCAAATAAATTCAAGTTCACAAATCATGTAAAAATTAAGTTTCATAGGTATTTTTTTAAATGTGTGAATTAAAAAAATAATTCTATCAATTTAAAATGTTCTTTTTGTTTTAATCCGGCATAACTTTTAATGCCATTGATGTGGGAAAGGGTGTTACTGAAAAAACACACAAAATGGTAAAACTCAAAATAAACAGAATTAACTGAATCAGATGGCAAAACCCCAGAGGATGTTAAGAGCAAGATCCTATAAAAATATTTTGAAAAAAATGTCACATTACAATGAACTAAAGTAAATTATAAGTTGGATTGAAGTCCTCTAAGTTTTCAATCATAACTTCTTTTATTAAAGCTTTTGAGAAGAACAGTATATTTGACATTTCTAAATTTTGGTCTCTCCTACTTGTGTTTAAAATCAAGACTAGAGGAGCTAAAAGGTCACAAAGTTGTACCAGTAATGTCAAATAATCTGTCTAATTTGCAGTGATGTCAGGGTTGAAAAGTAAAAAGACTGAATTTTGATCCAATTTTGTTCAAATATGATTGGAAACCAAAGAAAAAATGTATTAATAAAAATTTACAATGTAAACTAATTAACTCTCGATAAAAAATAAATAATTGTGCCTTTAAACAAGAAATGTGTTAAAACGTTAAAGAGAAGACAAAATACACTAATTAATTTAGATAATTAAGATGCAAAAAAATTATTTTTAGTTAAAATTTTTCTTTAATTTGGCGATTAAATAAATAATTTTTTTCATGTCTTTTGTAAAAATGTTGTCAAACATTTCTCTTTAAATAAACAGTATTCAGGAACTGAAGATTGTTGTTTGAATGCAAAATAAATCTTAAATCTAAAGTACTTTTAAAAATCTACGCTGTTAGAAAGATAACATCCAGACAGGATGTTTTTGTGTCAATTTATTAAAAATCGTATAGCCTGCCCCCCCCTTCCTTCTCTTGTGGGTTTTTTAAAGGCATAAAAATCACTTTTATTCTTTTACTTCGGATACTTTTTTATAAAAAAAATTTTTTTGAAGCCTTCTCTTTTATTGATAAATTGATGACCTTTCTGTTGTCTATCAGATAGCTCGTTATCTTCTAAAACAAATATTAATACTCATAATCCCGATCCTTTGTGTTGGATACTCATAATCCCGATCCTTTGTGTTGGATACTCATAATCCCGATCCTTTGTGTTGGATACTCATTATCCCGATCCTTTGTGTTGGAAACTCATAATCCCGATCCTTTGTGTTGGATACTCATAAGCCCGATCCTTTGTGTTGGATACTCATAATCCCGATCCTTTGTGTTGGATACTCATTATCCCGATCCTTTGTGTTGGATACTCATTATCTCGATCCTTTGGGCTGGATACTCATTATCCCGATCCTTTGTGTTGGATACTCATTATCTTGATCCTTTGTGCTGGATACTCATTATCTCGATCCTTTGTGTTGGATACTCATAATCCCGATCCTTTGTGCTGGATACTTATAATCCCGATCCTTTGTGTTGGATACTCATAATCCCGATCCCTTGATCTCGATATCCACTGCAGGTACTTTGAATTTGAGGATTTGTGCTTAATCTCTTTATTTCTGTTATTTATTCCTTGATCAAAGCTTCCTTCAACCCCTGACTGGGTAAAATTACCTTGCTATCTATAGATCTATGATAGATCAAGCATTGATCTCGAAATCCACAAGATTTCCAACTTGTAACTTTTTTATTGGATCAGGGTACCCTTAATCCCGATTGTTTAATCTCGATATCCACTGTGTCTACTTTTGATTTTCGACCAATAAGAGTGCAATAAAATTAGAAAATTGCATTTCCCGGCGTTTTATTGATTGATTCTGTTTTTTGCACACGACACTCTGATCGGTTGAATTTCAGATCCTTTCCTGGATATCAGTTAAAGATTAAGATTAAATTAATCTGCAGATTAAAAAAGCTCTGAAACCCATTTTCACCTAATATTTTCGAATTTGCCATTTTATATTTTTTTGTTTTTTATATTTTAAGTATTTATAGTATACAAGGTCGCTCACGATATTTTTGAAGGATTTTTTATGCTAAAACAAACTATTCCGATACAGACACAATGCACAGTGATAGAAGTAAGATTAGTAGCGATCAACAGCGATTATTTTTCGCCGGAAGCCTATACCCCCTTTCATTTTTCGCGAACACTCCCTTCAAAGCTTTGTCTGATCAATTCACATATATTTGTTTTAGTTAACTGATTGTTTTCATTTGTGGTTTCTTTATTTGCTCCAGGTACAATGGAGAAATTATCAGAAATAAACACTTTTCAAAACTAGAAAAACGACGTTATCCTCCACAATATTGATAATATTTAGGGTTCAAGAGAATCGGTCATGTCCATTTTGTAAATAGAAGTTACTTAAAATTGGAATTAAAATTCATTTAAAGGGAGTATTCGTGAAAAATGAAAGGGAGTAAAGGATTACGGCGAAAAATAATCGCTTTTGATCGCTACTAATCTTGTTTCTATTTGTTGCGTCTAGAAGGAGAAAATTGTTAAAAACGACTTATACCGAAGAACGTAGCGTGCAGACAAATTCGGAAAGTTGCAACATTCAACTCGGATCGTAAAAAATAAATTTAATTCCAAACAAATTATTCAGATATTACAACCAATAATCATCGATTATTTTTCGACTCTGAATGGACAGATAGAAGTAAGATTAGTAGCGATCAAAAGCGCTTATTTTTCACCGTAAGTCTATACCCCCTTATTTTTTCGCGAACACTCCCTTTAATAAAATAAAAGCAAATTCTCTTGACAATAAATAAACAAGTTTATAAATTTAATTTTTATTCATTTAAAGATATATCTATTTATATACTTTGTGTATATTTAAATCATTGCATAGAAGAGAATAGATTAGAGCTTTAACAATAAGTTTTAAAAGCGCTGTCTTTTGCTCGAAACATTTAACAGAATGAATTTACAGTCAACTCTTTCTAAAACTATATAATTCTATTTAAATATTCGATTTAAAGGGACTGTAAGCGTAATTTCAAGTGACCTTCCATGCAAAGATTCACAACAGTACCATTGAAATATATAGATTAGTTATTAATGTTTGTATTTTTGAAAACTGATTATTTTCTATTTTGGTTTCTGTATTTTTTATTGATTAGATACAGATATCAAAGATACCCTTGTGATTCAGAAAATGCCATCTGGAGGGTCACTGCAAATTACGCATACAGTCCCTTTAATATATGTAACTACGATTTCAACTATATTGAGCTGCATACTTTTCTTTAAAAAAAAAATCTGAACCAAAAAAATTGATTTTTTGTCACAAACTCAAATTGTGTAATCCCTATATCTTTGCAATATAATGACGTAACCTTTGATATTTCAAACTCCTAAAATTAGACATAACAGAAATCATAGTTGGAAATATTAAAGGTCCACGAGACTGGGTTACAAAGATATAGAAATTGGAAATTTTGAGTTTGTGGAAAGAACTCAGTTTCTTAATACTGAATTTTAAAACATATAATTTGCATGCTCTAATAACATATAAATATAAACATGTTAATAATATGTATAATTTCTCCACACAAATACTAATGCGTATACTGCGAGCGGGAAAACTTTCAGTTCAAACTTAACTTTAAAAATGAAAAAAGTTTTAAAAAGTTCTAAATATTTTATTGCAGAAATAGATTTTATTTTTCAATATTTGGCTTGTTGAAACAATCTTTTCAAACTTGGATTTTCTAATCGTGATTTTTGTCAGTTCAATTATATAGTAAACATAAATTACGTAACGTTTCTATTCATTTTTAGTCTGCAAATTTATTAAATGCATTGATCTTTATACTTTAAAACGTTGACATCTCTAATTTTTTTTCCTTATATTATATATTATCGAAATTCCTTATTTGGATAAGTTCTGGTTACAGTTAATCCAGCTTTTCTTTAAATATGTTGCATAATGCTCAAAAACTATGTTTTTTTGTTTTTGTTTTTAATCTCCTCAGCTCAAATTTCATCCTTCTAAATCGTTTAAAAAATCTACACTTAAATCGGGAAAACGGGTTCGAAAGTGAAGGCTCACTGACAAAGTGATCATCATAAACATGAAGTTGATAATATACAATAATACTGATGATGTTTTTATGTCAGGGTAAAATGATGTCACAAGAGAATCGAAAAAATTTCCTCATTGCCAAAAGAGGATCAAATATCCCCAATGCCAATAGAGGATTAAACATCCTAAATTCCAACAGAGGATTAAATATCCTCAATGCCAATAGAGGATTAAACATCCTAAATTCCAATAGAGGATTAAACATCCTCAATGCCAATAGAGGATTAAATATCCGCAATGCCAATAGAGGATTAAATATCCTCAATGCCAATAGAGGATTAAATATCCTCAATGCCAATAGAGGATTAAATATCCTCAATGCCAATAGAGGATTAAATATCCGCAATGCCAATAGAGGATTAAATATCCTCAATGCCAATAGAGGATTAAACATCCTCAATGCCAATAGAGGATTAAATATCCTCAATTCCAATAGAGGATTAAATATCCTCAATGCCAATAGAGGATTAAATATCCTCAATGCCAATAGAGGATTAAATATCCTCAATTAATTAACTCAATGTCACTAAAGGATTACAAGAGCTTTGCACCAAAGAACATTAGATAAGCTTATACTGTCTCTTATGGATTAAGACCCCTATTCCTAAGAAGTGAGTTATATATATAACTCTGTAGCAATACATACAATCTGTATGAAGAATTTTTAACAGAGGCTGTGGAGTATGGAGGACTATATGACCTCTAAACTTTGACTGTGGATTTAGAGGCTGGTGATTAGATTATTAGATGACCTCTATGACAGCAGCCTCCACCATTTGATCGAGGTTACTCAAGTTTTGCTTCACGTTCTTGTCGATGGTGTTAACTTTCTCCTTCATTGTGTTGATGAGCTCCTTGTTCTCCTCCAGCAGGTCGTTAACCTTCTTCTCTTGCTGGGCCTTGAACTTCTCCAGGAACTCCTTGTTCTCGTTGTACAAGCTTGCCATCCGTTCCTAAAGATATTATTATCATCATCTTCATGATCATTATCATGATCATCATCATGATCATGCTCATGATCATCATCAACAATATCTTTATCATTATCATTATTATTTTTATTATTATCATTGTTATATTATTATTATTATTATTACTATATTTATTATTATTATTATTGATGTATGATTAACATTACTATTAATAGTATTATTACTTATTACCTTGGTATCGTTAACTCTACTAAACCATTTTATACCTTGGTATCATTGACTCTACTAGACCATTTTATACCTTGGTATCATTAACTCTACTATACCATTTTATACCTTGGTATCTTTAACTCAGCTAAACCATTTTACACCTTGGTATCGTTAACTCTACTAAACCATTTTATACCTTGGTATCATTAACTCTACTAAACCATTTCATACCTTGGTATCATTAACTCTACTAAACCATTTTATACCTTGGTATCGTTAACTCTACTAAACCATTTTATACCTTGGTATCATTAACTCTACTAAACCATTTTATACCTTGGTATCATTAACTCTACTATACCATTTTATACCTTGGTATCATTAACTCTGCTAAACCATTTTATACCTTGGTATCATTAGCTCTGCTAAACCATCGTATACCTTGGTATCATTAACTCTGCTAAACCATTGTATACCTTTGTATCATTCACTCTACTAAACCATTGTATACCTTGGTATCGTTAACTCTACTAAACCATTGTATACCTTGGTATCGTTAACTCTACTAAACCATTCAGTATTTCTGACTCTTTCTTCTACATTCCTAAAAATGTTTTAAAATCAATTTAATATATTTATGCAGAATGCAGTTTAACATAATAACTCATAAAAGTTATTTTTAAATAAGGAAAGATTGTGTGAAATACAGGGTTACCCACAAAGGATGAGATTTCAGAGACGACTGTACGGAATTACTGTGGATTCCCCGCAGCAACCGTAAACTTGTTTCTTTCTTTGCTAAATCATTGAATAAGCTATCAAAAGACTTTATTCAAGACAGAAGACTTAATTTAATCCTAGAATCATCATACTTTAAGCGTTTTAGGTCGTCTTTACAGTCTCATCCTTAGTGAGTAACCCTGTATTACAAATAAATTTTCCTAAGAAAGTTATACAAAACTGAATGTAAACTGAATGATTGATTTGTTTGAATTTAGATGTAGTCGTCTTCATACCTTAATTTTTCAAGTAGCTCCTCATTGGTCACTCCACAAAAATATTTAACTCTTTCGTGAACATCATTAAATTCGTCACCAGGGGGTATTATACTGCCTGAAATATATATAACTCGTCACCAGAGGGAATTATACTGCCTGAAATATATATAATTCGTCACCAGAGGGAATTATACTGCCTGAAATATATATGGTTCGTCACCAGGGGGAATTATACTGCCTTCATATTTATGATTCGTCACCAGAGGGAATTATACTGCCTGAAATATATAGAATTCGTCACCAGGGGGAATTATACTGCTGGAAATATATATATATATATATATTCAATATGTACGCAGAGTATACGCAACTGCAATTAATTTTCCTTGCATTATAACCTTGAGTATAATCATGTTTTGTACGTGTACAGTGTACACTGAACTGTAAAGATATAAAGAAATTAGAATAAAGATTTAATCAGATAATTTCTAGTCTGGAGAACTCACGCCTGAGAATCTTTACAATTTATTATCTTTATATTGCTTGTCTGTCTGTTTGTTTGATCCAATAAATGTAAAACGGCTGAACCGATCAGGCCCAAATCACAGGAAAGGTTTATAAATGCTCAGAATTCTCTCTAAAAAATTTGAATTTTTGCAAATTTTGAAAATCCACGAAAAAAATGCAAATCCGCAAAATTTGTTTTTCTTATTTTATCGAAGAGAAAATGCTGAAAGATTCAGCAACAATTAAAAGTTTAAAAAGAAGATGGGATTGAATAATATTAATAGTTTTAGGACAGTCACGAATCCAAATAAACATACTGAACACTTTTTTTAACGGAGTGACTGGACATTGTAGTTGAAATGAGAGTGCTGTATTAAAAAATTAATATCAGGAACATGTTTCTCAAAAAATGCAATCAAATATATATAGTAGATTGAATTATTTGATTAATTGATGTTTATAGAAACATCGTTTTCTTAAATAAAATTTCAAACAATCCCGGCCATAAGTTTTGGAAATTAAGATTGAAACACATTTGTTTGGAGATTATTTCCCTCGAAGTTCACCAAACTCTGAATCCCCCTGTGTAACGATGCATCAATAAAGAAGTCTGTAAGTAAAGATGGATGAATACAATATAAATATATGTTTTGTATAAATGTATGTATATATGTAGAAAATAGAACCTGATCAGAATAAATTAACAAAAGAAAAGAAAAAGGTCATCAATCATTGATTTTCCCTAGAGTTAGGGTAGAGGTAGAAGGGAAGGCAACCTCCCCCGCACAGCTTCCGAACCTCATTTTACCTATTTGCGGCAGTGCGCGTCCCAAGAGGGCTTCCGAACCTCCCCAAAACAGTCTTCCGTGAAGGATCTTCCATTTATAATCGTCAATGTCTACTTAAAACGGGACTAATTTGGTAGTATCCTTAACACTTGCATAATATTTTTTTTTTAAATCAAAGTTCGGGCTGGTAAAATTTAAACTTTGTAGATTTTGTTTGATATTGTGTTTGTCTTTCATTTTGATTTGCGGCATTGCGCTGAATCCCCATACTGCTTCCGAACCTCGTTCAACGTTCGGAACATGATGTTTCTTAATTCCATGTTTGAAATTTTGTACAGCTTCAAATCCCTTGAACTTGTAAGTAAAGAAATTTACGTAAACGCGTAAACTTACAGAAATTCGTTTTGCAAACGAAAACGTGTTATTTATATTAAATTAATTTACCTGCAAAATAATGCATTAAACAATGAGAAAAGGAACTTTTAACGATTCTCAAATTAAAGAAAATGTAATTATCTTTCGATCTATATGTATTTCAAATCTGTAGCTCTTGTAAAAAAAGGCGGCAATAGTTAGGTTATAACAGAGTTTTGTTTTCTTTAAATATCTCGAATAACTACAAAGAAAATTAACAAACAGATATGTTTTTAGAAACAATATTTTATGAAGAAATCTTTTTTATATCTACTTATTACTAAAAGTTATTCATAAAAAAGTGCCAGCCATTCCAAGATTTGTTGTTAAAAAAAATCTATAAAAACAAAGCTATTTCCTCCCCGAACTTTGATTGTAAAAAAATATAATGCAAATGTTAAGGATACTATAGATCGACTTCCATGCTTAAATAACCAAATTAGTCCCGTTTTAAGTAAACATTTACAAACATGAAAGGTCCTTCTCGGAAGACTGTTTGGGGGAGGTTGCCTTCCCTCCCTCGTAGGACTAGACACGATAAAACTTTTTCAATTCATTCCTCAACGTTTAGATGTGATTGAAAGCGTAATCTTAAGCAACTCTTCATTCAAAAAGCCTTTATATGATCAATAATATTGAAAATATTTCGTTTTTCTAACTTGAAAAGAGTTTGATTCTTATGTTTTCCTTGCAGTAGAAATGCGCAATTCATTTTTGTAGAGAAACCACAATTGAGAATAATCAGTTTTCAAAATTATATACAAAAAAAATCTAATTCATACTTGTCATCTTTGCCTAGAGGGTCACTTGAAATAACGCTTATTTGTATTTTATAAAAAGATATTTTTACTAATAATATATTGTTATTATCTATATAATATAGATATATTGGCGGTTATAAAGAATCCTAGATATATTCTTCTTGCATGACAGCACACTATCAAACATACAAACTATTCTTGTAGATAAGGTTTAAGGGATTGTAAGCGTAATTTCAAGTGACCCTCCATGCAAAGATGACAATGCCCGATTCACAACGGTATGTTAAAGCTTTGTCTGATCAAGTAAAACAATGATATTAATGTTTATAATTTTGAAAACTGATCATTTCAATTCTGGTTTCTCTACAAAAGTGATATTTCTAGTGCAGGAAAGCATAGAGGAATTATGAATTGTCATAATTAAACACTTTTAACCCAAGAAAAGCGACAATATGTTCAACATTATTGATTTGATAAAGGTTCCAAGGGTACCGTCGGGAATTGTACTGAACTATTAAACCTATGCTTGGATAAAAAGGGCCTTAACTGTATTTTATCAAATTCCTACTCACTTTTACTATGGATATACAGCTTTCTGATGTATTCATGTGTGGCCTGGAACTGTTCTAGCACATCAGCATTTTTAGGACTAAAGAATTCTCCTTGTCGCTCATTGGAAGATTTATGCTTGTATAGAAGTTCCTCATTTTCCATGGCTACTTTTTCTCTTCCCCTTTGGTCACTTCTAAAAAGTCTTAAAATCTCGCGATTTGGTTCATACGGACCTTTCTTTTCCTTGCGCGGAGAAGAAAGTTTTTCAAATATTTTTCTACTATTAATGGCCAGTCTTCTGTGAGCATCTAAAGTCTCTTTTGGGTCATATGTATAAGGGCGGGACCCAGTAAGGTTTTGACTGAGACGGTAGGCAGTTAAAAGGTCTGAGCAAGTAATTGTAGCCATTTCAGGTGTTTTTATTTTAACAGTTCCATATCCTCTCACTTGAATGATCTTTTCATTCGGCTGAACTGTTACATGTTTTATGTCTCTAATATCTGCCCTTAGAGGCTCTCCATTAGATGATTTTATCGGTCTTACTTTCTGAATGGGTTTGTGAAATTGGCTACCAGTAGAGTCTTCGTTCCAAAGAGCATCATTATTTTGTGCAATGGGCATTCTCTGGCTTCCAGGAATTTGATGACGAACAGATGGAAAGGATGGAGCTCTCAGTGGAGGTCGTAGGGGCCTTGGAGATGGTGGCCCTCCCAAATAGTACATAGGTTTAAAGTTAGGCGGTCGTATAGGTGAAAAGTGTCCTGAGCACCTTAATGTTCTTAAGGGAGATCTTGGTGTTGGAGACATCATTGGAGACATGCGAGGATGTGGGAATCTTTGATGTATTGGAGACGGTGTCATTAGTCTTGGTCTGTTCATTCTATAAGATGGTGGGAGATGCCTAGGGGTAATTCTTATCAGACCTGTTGTAGGACTTGGACTCTGAAATAAATGCATTGGCATTGGTCTTAATGGAGGGCTCATCCTCATTTGGCCTTGCATGAAGGGGGGTTGGGATCTTGGGTTCATCATAAACTTTCCTCTCACCATTAGAGGAGGATATGGTGATCTTGGTCTACCCATTCTTGGTCTAACATGTCCCCTGTTAACTCTGAGAGCTGGATTGATAGTACCAGATGGAGTCTCTCCCATGGAATCTGTATAATTGTAAGGAATTGAGGTAAGGATTAATGGTCTTAAATTTGGTTCTGGATATAGTTCATTGCTCATCTTTTCCGTCTCAGGTAGAGTTTCAGGAGACGGAGACATGTGAAGTAATCGTTGTAGATTCTTGTCATTCATCTCTTTTAATTTGTTTTCTATTTCTACTTTTTGTTTGTTGATTTCCTCTAATTCATTTTTAGTGTCATAAGTAGATTCATCATCTTTTTTGAAATTTTTCACAACAGGATCATCCTTTTCAATACTAATTTTGAATCTGCCCTTTTCAATATTTTTCAGGGGCACCTTCTCCTCCACATTGACCTTCTTTAATGATTCAGAACTCTTTTGCAAAGGAATTGTTTCCATTGTGTTTCTTCTCTCAAATCTTTTTACAATTTCACTGCCCAATGTTTCACTGTCTATTGAAGACAGTTTCGGAGTAGAAAATGTAACACTTTTCTTAATTGAAGAAAGAGGAATAGCTTCATATACATTTCGCAAAACTGGTTTCAATTGAGACGGACCGCTTTTTCTTCTTGGTCGCCACTTTTCCTCTTCACTTTCCGTAGACTTATCACTGTATAAAGATGTGTCTTCAGGGGATGCAGGCCCGCTTCTATGCCTGTATCTACATGATATGTTGCTACTATTAGAAACTATAGAGTCATTACTCTTCTTTCTTGAAGACGGGACTTTGTTATCATCTTGATTACCTTCCCTATTTACATTGTTGATGTTATAAATTGAGTTGAAAATTATTTCAGACTGGGTTTGAAGGTTTGATTCTGCCGGAATGAGAATTTCATTATCCAACTCAGCAAAGTTTTCATTTTTAAACAATTTATCTGTCATTGTGAACTCTTCTGGAGAAGGGGAAATCTGAAGCAGTCTTTTCAAATTATCATTACTTAATTTTTTCAGTTTGTTCTCTATTTCACTTTTTTGCTTAGAAATCTCATTCAATTCATTCTTAACATTGGAAGTCTCTTTTGAAGTGGGAGATTTTGATGAAATGTAATTATTGTTTTCATAGTTTCCATGTGTTTTGGTTTCTTTGATATTATCTCTAAATTGATCTGTCTGATTTAATGATTTCTCAAAAATATCTCGTATGGCGGAAACATCCCCTTTCTTACTATCATCAATGTTTCTTGAGTACTTTGACTCCTTTTTATTCAAATTATCCTCATTTTTAACAGCAGGGGAATTTTTGTCCAATAGAAATCCGGGACTAAATATTTCTGATCTGTGTTTAGAATCCTTTTTGTTCAAAAGAAACCCTGACTTAAATATGGGAGTTTCTTCTACAGATTTGGTAAATCTTTCTTCTGGTGATACGGATGTTTCATACTTTTGAGGTAAGAATTCTGATGTAATTGTTTCCTTTGAGGCAATTTCATTTTCTTTGTTGTTTGAGAAATTCTTTAAAGTTTCCACTTTCAATTTTACTGAACAATCCTTCAACTCTTTACAGGAAAACTCACTTCTGGGGGAAGTAGATATATCAGTATTTAAGTTATCAGTCTGCTTTGTCTTGAATGGATTTTCATATTTATATGAAAATATTTCATTTTTTTCAGAAAGATCTTGCTTGTGTTTAATTTCATTTTTATTCGATAAATGGTTTGAATATCTGTATGCTTCATATTTCAGGGTTGTCTCGCTTGAGTTAGGAAAACTTTGTTTAAAAGTTTCATGCTTTTCTTCATACTGTTTTTGTTTTGGTTCATAAGGTTTGTCATGATTTATATTGATGGGTTCCAACTTTTCTTTCCCAACATTACTGTCATATTTTTCAATTGAGAATAATGGTGTTGATTTTTCAGCCTTAATATTTTCATTAATACTTTTAGGAGAACCATAAAGGTTTGATTTACTATAATCTTTTTGTTCATAGTCGTGTAAACTTCTTTTTTCATTAACTAGGTCTTTGGAATTTTTACTTCCACCCGGCAATTCAGGTTTTGAATAATTTCCGATTAAAGTTGAAACTTCCAGTTTGCATGTCCTACTCTCCTTCCCAACTTCAGCACTGGTATCATCTTCCTTATCAGCAGTTTTAATATTTTGAAGTCTACTTATTTCTTTGTTTTTATAATACTTTTCTAATAAAGATTCTTCTTTTTTGGCACTCTCCTCTTTGGACACTCTTGGCAGGGTTCCAAATTTTGTTCCTATTTCTTGAATTTCAAGCTGTTTAGTAGAGGAATTGATAACTTCTGTGCTTTTTCTTCTCATAAGTTCATTCTTTGCTGATTGATTATTAGAATGATCATCTGGTGTTACAATAAATTCTTCACTTTTTTTTGGTATTATAGAATCTATGTTTATGTTATTGCTTTTTCTTCTACCATATTCATCAACAAATGGAGCATCTTTGGTTGAGAACATAGCTAGTAGTGAAGTGTCGAATTTTGAGTCTGTCACAGCTCTATGCTTTGCTGAGTTGCATTTATCTTCACCATCATTCCTTCTACTATAATCTTTATCATGAAAATCAAACCTAGAATTAGCTTGTGAAGGTATTTCAGTTGTTGTTGGAACACCTCGAGGTATTTGAGGTTCCTTTTGTTCAGTCACATTTGCAATCAATTCAGCACTTTTTCTTCTTTTATTTTCTTGATTTGGGGACAAATCCTGCAGTTTGGATCTAAAGTTAGAACGTGGTATTGTTCCATAGTGTGCTGGTATTCTCTCTGTATCTGGTTCCACTTGTTGAGTGGAGTTCAAATTAACTTCAGAACTTTTTCTTCTATTGTTTTCCTGGTTTCGTGATTCATCCGGGATATCAGAATTTGAATTGCCAACTTTTGCAACAAAGGGTATCACGGGTTCATGGTCAGTTTTATGCTTTACATTTCTATACTTAAACTCAGCAGTTGAAGTATTTTGTGTGGAAACGCTTGATGGATCACTTTTCATACTGGTATTCTTTTTAGGCTCTTTTTTACTTCTAAAACTTGGTTCTTTTCTAGTAGACTGAGTTTGATGAGGTTCCTTACTCTTAATTGAATTCAAGTTGGAGGTTAAAACTTTGTCCGTATTAGTGGGGAAAGTTGTTATAACCTTGGTTGTACTTTTGCATTCCTCATTTTTCTTAGAAACAGGGTTAATATGCTCGACAAGTATTTTCTCTGTTGTGCACTGTATCGGGGTGTCAGATTCCACGGGAAATGTTGTTTCTATTTTTATACCAGGAACTGGGTCACAAATAACACCTATGTTGGATACATTAGATCCCTTTCTGGAAGATTTGGCTAGTTCCCCTTTGTTGATTTTTTCAACATTTGTTTCAAATGTTAATCTCTTGGATTTTTGTTGAGGGGACTCTTCATCCTGACTTGTTTCACGAAGAGACTCTTGGCATAAAATCATGTTTCGGTCGTGGACCGGTTTAAATTTTCTCAACTTCTTGTTAAATTTGACAACTTTTTCAAACTTAATATCTCCTTGCACTGACAAGTTCTCAGCTTTTGCATCCTAAATAATTTGTTTTATTAAAATTCTTCTATCTTGTGCTATTTACATTACAGGGCCACCCACAAAGGATGAGACTTTATAAGTACTCTAATGGTTACTCTAGCATTGCAATCTAGCAATGCCAATTTCCAAAATCAACCTTCATATGGGTAAACTCAAAGAGATCCATGTCATCATTAAAGTCTCATCTTTTGTGGGTTACTCTGTAAAAAAAAGTATTATTGCAAAAAATAAAAATGCCAAGCGAATATAGAATCATACTGTCTACAAGCTATAAGACATTTCTCCAGACATGACTTAGTATTATTCATTTTAAGTTTGGGAAGTGGAAGGAATCTGATTAATTTGACTTGATTTCCTTTTTTTTAATCAAACATTTAAAATTTGATAAGTTCTTTGTATATCTAAAGAAGAACAGGAATACTAAAATGCTAAAAGGATCTCAGAACTTGTTGTCAAGTTGTCAATGGTAATTTTTTTGTATCTCTATAGCTTAGCAGCCTACTGGTGTAGACCTTCAAACTATGACTGTAAAAATTTGAACTATCAGAAATCATAAGGCTGAAAAAATATGAGGTTTAGAAAATGAGAGTTAAACGCCAGTGTTTCGAGGTCAGAACGTTTGTATGAAGTATCTATAATCATGAACGATTGATCTCTTTTTACAATTTGAGCATTTTTAAATTTGAGTATCACTGCTTGATCCTATCATTTTGTTATCCCTGCAGAGTAGGACCAAAACAGGAAATTCAAGAAAAATGAATTAATCTGAGGCCGAATTTAAAGAATTTGAGTGGCGGCTTAAATTTAAGCTGCGGCTCAAATATGGTTGGTTTCACTTAAAATTGTATTCAATATTTCAAGATTTAAGCTGGCGCTCAATTGAAACCGGTTTTTGGCGGATTTACGACACGGCTCAAATTAATTAAATTCGGACACTGCAAGATGGAAATCAATGTTTGGTCCCGAGATAAAAAGTACAAAAGTTCTTACTTAAATTACCTTTGATCACTTGATAAACAAAACCAGAGAAAAATGCTTTATAACACAATAAACTTTCCAATTAGACCTCTGATAATCTTCGTTCAATCCCGGGGGTATTTTTATTTGTTTATAATGTAAATTATAAGTTATGTTTTATAAACCCCGTGGGATAACTTTAATTGAGGATTCAAGCGTTGATTCTCAACTTTGAAAGTGCCTGCAGTGAATATCGAGCTCAAAATTAATGATATCCACGCAAAGAGTTCCGATGTCTGAGCTGAAAACTTTAGAATTGAGGATATCAAGATCAATGCTTGATCTCCTGCTTTTCTTAATCTTAAGATTATTTTAATCCTATGGTTATATCCAGGAAATTGTGTTTGAAATTCAACCAATAAGAGTTGCGTATACAAAACAGCCAATAAGAAGCTTGGAGATTTGAATTTTTGCGCGCGCAAAAATAGAGTGGATTAAAGAGGAAAATAAAAGTGTCCACATTGAATATTCAGATTAAGCAACCAGGATTAAAAGGTATCCAATTCTAAAGAATTCAGCTCAGGACAATCTATTCGATAAAACTTCCCTGGATAAAGGCTTTTATTCGTCGTTCTTGCTTCTCACACTGATCGAAGAGTAAAGATCGATGATACTTGAGATCATTCGATACTTCGTCTACAGAGGACTGCTTCTTACTGTTCACATTTACAACACGTGGTGTCGGAAGGATCAGACATTTTGGTTTAGGTGGCGCCGATCTCATTCTTCCAGGATCCTTGTCCACAATCTGTATTTAATTGGTTTATCAAGAGGGGAGCATGCGCCATTAAAGAGAGAGACCGGCAAGGCATGGTAGGTGAGCTGAAAGTTCAGTATTTTAGAAAAAAACTTTAAGATTCCTTTGATTCCAATGAGACATTTTAACGGTGTGCATGTTTCAAATAGAGCTTAAATACGTTTGTAATATTTCACCAATTGTGTCCGTCAGTGCAGAAGAAAGGTTTTTTACAATAATTTGTATTTAGTTTTTCCCTACTACACTGCACTTTCAGCTTAACTGCCATGTCTAGTCGGCCTCTCCCTTTAAAGAGCAATTTCACGCGACGCAAAATGGTGGGGTTTAAAGGAATTATTTGTAAATGAATTTTGGCATAATTTTAGTTTACAGGGACTTTAGTTGTAATTGTTGTTTACAGGGACTTTATTGTAATTTTAGTTTACAGGGACTTTAGTTGTAATTTTAGTTTACACGGACTTTAGTTGTAATTTTAGTAACAGGGACTTTAGTTGTAATATTCGTTTACACGGACTTTAGTTGTAATTTTAGTAAACAGGGACTTTAGTTGTAATTGTTGTTTACAGGGACTTTAGTTGTAATTTTAGTAAACAGGGAATTTAGTTGTAATTGTTGTTTGCATGGACTTTAGTTGTAATTTTAGTTTACACGGACTTTAGTTGTAATTTTAGTAAACGGGGACTTTAGTTGTAATTTTAGTTTACAGGGACTTTAGTTGTAATTTTATTAAACGGGGACTTTAGTTGTAATTTTAGTATACACGGACTTTAGTTGTAATTTTAGTTTACAGGGTAAAAGTAATGGAAAATTAGAATATGAACGAGGTAATCAACTCTATTTTTTAGCAAACATTTTTTATTTTAACCCGCAAACCTCAATGTTAGCTTTGCCAGGTCCCACATGAATAGATGGGCATCAATTGCTTCAATCATTAGGTGCTTAGAAGTTAGAGGTAAAAAAAACCTGTGGATGGGACTGTAAAGACGACCCCAAACTCTCCAAGATTAAATTAAGTCTTCTGTCCTGAATGTGGCCTTTAAATGACCTATTAAATGACCTATTAAATGACCTATTAAATGACCTATTAAATGACTTGTCATAGAAAGAAACCAGTTTACAGTTGCACAGAATCATAAATAAAGGAAAATAAACAGTATAAATTCGAATCTGGTTTCATCCTTTGTGGGTAAACCCTGTATAAAGCAAAGTAATAAAACACGCGTAACAAACTCTAATTGTCTAATTCCTATATACACCAGATGGTGTAAACCTTTAATATTTAAAACATAAACTGTGAAACAGGTTCTATGGTTTGAAATTTACACAGATAAAGAGATTAGACGATTAGAAATTGTGGTTAGTTTTCTGTTCCTTTCTAATATTTTTAGAATTTTCTATTTTCTGTCTTTTCAAGAACATTTAGTTTGAAAAATATGAGAATAGTTTCCCCACTATTTATGCAAATTTCTGGACTGAGAATGGTTGCAAAGAACTTTTAACTAAGATTATTCTCTGAAGTTCTAGAACTTTCTTTGCTTGATTCTTTCATGTCTAAGTACTCTAATGTTTAAAGCCTTTATCTCTGTATTGATAAACTGTTGTGGTATCCTTGTATCCCTGTATCCCTGTATTGATATAACCGTTGTTGTATCCCTGTATCCCTGTATCCCTGTATCCCTGTATCCCTGTATCCCTGTATCCCTGTATCCCTGTATCCCTGTAGCCCTGTGTCCCTGTATCCCTGTATTACTAAGTGTGTGTTGAAAGGGAACAAAATAACTGTATTTAAAGAATTCCCACAGGGATACCAGGGATACCAGGGATACCAGGGAATACACCGGGATATCAAAAATCAAATGTAGAACCAACCGACTTTATTTTCAGTAGTTTGGTTTCAAGTAAAATTTGTTATACTTAACTAATGTAAATGTGATTATATTGCAAGGACCAGCACTTTTTCTGAAAAAATATTTCAACCAAAATTTTCTTGCCTGGTTGAGCCATGTTTTTAGTGTCAGCAGTTTTCTTTAGAAACACATTTTACTACTCAGCAGAATGCCGACAACAATTCATTCACCAAATTTTCAATCATCTGTTTGATAAATAAAACAACAAGTTTCATTATTATCCGACAATAAAAGGTAAAAGAAATTAATAAAATAGATTTTGAAAGATCTCCAAATGGCAACGTACAACAAAACTGTTTTGAAAAAACTTTAATTTTAAGTTTCCACTTTTAAAAGATCTGTAAAAACCATCTAATATTTGATTTACCTATCAGATTTCTGCGTAAATAATAGCAAAAAATAAGAAATTAACCATAGATAAATAAATTAACACAACTTTAATTTTAAGTTCATGAGCTGGATCCTAAAATATTAGGTTGGATGAGAAATAATTTTAGGTTCTGATCAATGATTTCTCTTTCACTGATTTCACTGAATATAAAAAAATAACCAACTAATTCCTGAGTTAAAATAATCTCTTTCTGTGGGAGTTCCTCGACCACTATGTCTGGGGGATCCAGGAGTTCAATAGAAGGGTCATTGACATCCTCGCCGTAAACAATGACCTCCTCTTCCATCTCTTCCTCTTCGACGTTGGAAAGAACATCGCTGGATTTTCGCCGATCCTTTGAATCTTGATCATCATGATCGGAGACACTAAATATAGAAATAAGATCAGTTGAAGTATTTCATGATTTTCTTTTAAAAATATTAATTTAGACAAACTTGTAGGACTTCATTTTTTAAAAGGAATATCTATCTATCTATCTATCTATCTATCTATGTATCTATCTTTCTATCTATCTATCGATCTATCTATCTATATATCTATCTATCTATCTATATATCTATCTATCTATCTATCTATCTATCTATCTATCTATCTATCTATCTATCTATCTATCTATCTATCTATCTATCTATCTATCTGTCTATCTATCTATCTATCTATCTATCTATCTATCTATACCTGGTTGTGAGACTACTAAGGAATCTATCTCGACTGTTTTTTGGTGGTTCATCACTCATACTTTAAGCATACTTCGCCTTAAACAAAATATATTCATCTTTTAAAATTTTACTTTGATTTAATTTAATTTTGCTATTTCATTTTTATTTCAACATGAGAAAACAATTCCTGCACATATCTAATGGGGGGGGGGGGGGGGGGGATTGAAAAGTTTTTTTAATATTAAGTCGCTTTAGCAAGCAGTTTAATTTGATAAAGTTATAATAGATTCAGCTGCATTTTGCACAGTTTCTTCGTATTTGTCTCTGCTAAAAAAGATGGTGGATTTTTAATTAAAACAAAAATATTTTTGTTTTGTTAAAATCAGAGAAGTAGGATAGATTAAACCAATTATAAAAAAATAAGTGGAATTCTAAATTTAGAAATTTCATTTGAAATAAAGTCGAAATGAATTTACAGAATTTAAAAAATATTTATTAGAACTTTGTTTATTATTTTTTACAGTAACTTAATTATTATTTTTGCAATTAAAAACACCGGGATTTCTGTAGCATATATTAGCTTGGGTTTATATAAAAAAAATTTAATTGCGAGCTAAAAGCTATTCTTTTTTAAATAGATCAAAACATGCACTTTTGAGACGAAAAAAATCTTTAAGATAATTTCATAAGGGTATCAAAATATCCGTCTAATAACACTGAATTTAGAAAAGTTTATTTCAATAAATGGGATTCTTTAATTATTAAACCAATTTGAGACAACAACAAAAACTGGTGTTTGCATCGAAAACTTTTGATATTCCTATCGATATATTTTCACGAATTTTTTTTTCGGTCCTACTTGCGAATTTTTACCTATAATCTCCTTAAAACTGCTAACATTATTTTTTCGAATTTTTTATTTGTGAATTTTTTTGCCCAGGTATATCTCAAAGGCCCTAAACTACAAAATCGACCCACTCTAGTAAATATTCCTAAGTACATATTTATTTCTTCTCGTTAAAAGTGTACTGCAATTTCCGGGAGAATGTAAATAAACGCTGTACCTGAGAAGTGTTGATAGCCCAGGAAAACCAGCGGAAACTGGTTTTGGAAGTTACACCACAGCAAGTTACATGATTAATCTGAAAAAAAAACAATAAATAAAATCTGTCGAAGGTAGAAGTTGTATCCAGATTTGATCAATTTTTGGTTCTTTTGATTTGATTGAGCCCTTCACTGATTCCAGTTTTTTTTTAATTGCTCCTTATTTTAATCCTTGAAATAACCGAACACTTGCCATGCAAACTCTAATTTCCTAATCCCTATATTTTTCCTACCTAATTGTGCCAATCTTTGATATTTTATACTTTGTTCGTTGGATCAAACAGAATTCATTGTTTTAAATATTAAAGGTCTCCCTGCAAACATTTTGATTTCGACATACTCGACATCTTCGCCATAGGACCAAATATAGTCTGTAACGGAGTTCAAAGTGCATATTTTTAACAAAGAATGTCAGATCATGGTTGGAATCAATTATTTCTGTATATGGGAACTCTGCTGGGTGTTTACATAAACTAAAACTCCTTTTTTTGTAAAATTCACAAACGAATGTAACAGATTCTTTAAGAATTGATATTTGTGCTTTTATGAATAGTTAAAATGTATTTATATGCTTGTATTTTTTGTGAACATCCTGTGAGCACTGTGTATTTTTAAGTATAGACTCAAGGTTAATGTTACGCCTTAAACCTAACGTTGAAATCTTGGAAAGATGATATTATCAGTTGTAGCTAATCTTCCAGCAGCTCCGGAGTTCTAAACCAACTCTACCATCAAAAGGGGATTTTGTAGATATTCTAAAATCAGAATAGAATTATCATTTTCGGACCAAGTCCTGGACCAGAAAGTGCATCTACACCTACAGCTTAAGGCAGTTCCCTACAGAAGCAGCCTTCTACGGTTCTGCTCCAGACAGCTCTAAAGGTTCATCTACACCTACAGCTTAAAGCAGCTCCCTACAGAAGCAGCCTTCTACAGTTCTGCTCCAGACAGCTCTAAAGGTTCATCTACACCTACAGCTTAAAGCAGTTCCCTACAGAAGCAGCATTCTACCGTTCTGCTCCAGACTGCTCCGTGTTCTGAAGACTCATCAATTCCAGCAGTTGAGAAGCTCCCTAAATCCCCCCACAGAAAGTAAAAACGCTCCTATATATTCCGTAACAAGTTTTAACCAATAAACATTTTTCAACCCCCACCATGTATCATTTAGTTAGACTTAAGGTTTAACAAGTCAGTTTAAATGTTTCCTGGGCAACCATGTCAGAGTCGGGGATTTAAAAAATTCATGAAAATACGATTCAAGCCTAAGCTGTCGTTGGGCCTTATTCACGGCTTGAGCTTTCGGATTCAAGCTGCAGTTGAGGTTAAAAACCGGTTTAATATTCTATTTGGCGGATTTTCATGGTAAGAATTGGCGCATTCCGGGTTTTTATGAGAACAAGACGCAATATTGAGCCTTCTTCTCCACTTAAACCAAACTAGGTCGGTTTTATTTTCATTGGGCCTAACTCCTTAAGTCGAGCCGAAGATTTTTCAGCTGTCAATCACGTGACACAAGCTTGTCGTCAGAGTTGGTTGAAGATTAGGCTTAAAGTCGGGTTTAAGAAATTACGGCTCGAGCCGTAGGCCTATAAAGACCGTAAAGTTTTTAAATCGCTGGCTCTGGTTTCAAAGATTGAAGGATTATAATTTGTATTCATTCACTTTTGTTATATTGTTTAAATTATATAAACTCCTTGAATCTTACAGAACTGTGGAATAGGATTTCGATGCTTGGACACAGTCACACAAGTCTAAAGAAAAATTGTTATTATTTTATTATTGCTACTTAGGTTTTCTTCTTCTTCACTGGAAAACTATTTGCTTTAAAACAACATCTGATACAAATAATATTACTAAAATGTAAATTTATGAGAAAGCTCTTTATATAAATCTACAATTCTACGTAACTCCTTCAAAACTTGTACACCCTTCGTTTAAACTCAAACTTTTACTGTCATTTTCACACAAAATTTCACTCTTTCTTTATACACTATAATTAATAAAGATGGTTGAAAAAAAATGGGCAATTGGTTGTAAATAATAGTTTTAAATAAATCGTTACGATACTTTTAAAGTTATAATTAAAAAGCCAGTGGAAAATAATCTTTTTGAGGCGATTATGTCTTTGAGATTTGTTGCATAAAATAACAGTTTTTTAGTTTGCAAAGCAGAATCTTTCTGTATCCTTTCAGCCTGCACAAATCTTGAATTTTAAAGTCGAAATTTATTACTTTAATTTTGAGAAAATTTGTGCAATATATTTTTAAACACATTTTTTATGGGAAATATGTGTTTAAAAGAGAAAAGAAATAACTGAAAACATAGAAACAAAAAACGGGAAAATGACATGGTTTCGTCCGTGAAAGATTCAAATTCTCCTTTTAGTACGTCTTTATACCTTTTACCAAAACAAATATAGATAACAATCTCCCCCCCACCCCCACCCTTGCAATTTCATTGTTGTGAGACTGTCTCATAAAATGAAATAAATTTTATTTATAAAATGCTCTTTTTATTTAAAAAATATACCATGTCACGCATAACTAAAGTAAACTGCTCGTAAGGTTGAAATCTCATATGTTTTCAATTGAAGAGCTATTAAGAATTTAACAAAAATGTTTTGAATTTTCTAATATGTTACTACAGGGTGTACCATTAAACATAAGAATTCAGTGACGAAAATTCGATATCGTCTTTGTTATGAATGAGCATTGTAATACCTGATTTCAAAAGCCATAATATTATTATGTCTGCTAGAGTTTATTTTATGAAAACAGTTATGGTTGTAAAGATGTGTCTATAATGTCTCCGCAAGATGAACAGTTTTTTTTACTTGTAGACTGTAATGTTTTTGTTATTCTAAGTACAACCATATGCAGTCAAAACATAAACATAATCTTACGGATTAAAGCTTTCTCAGTAGGTATCATTAAACTAAATCAAAGAATTATTTAAAAAGACGATATCGAATTCGTCACTGAATTTCCATGTATATTGGGACACCCTGTATATAAATCTACTTTTTTCATCCTTGAGGAGATACAATGTCTCAAAATGGTACCAGTAAGATCGAACTAATTTTAACCTCTCCTTCTCTGATGTATATGGGGATAAATTTAATTCTTAACTTCAAGTTAAAAACTTCTTAATTCTAACTTTTAAGGGACAATCAGCTAATTATCAGCTTAATGGAAACCCGCATACAATATTATATATTATTCAAGACCGGGGGGGGAATATATCCTACTTGTGAAAAGATATCCTAGAATATATCCTACTTGTGAAAAGATATCCTAGAATATATCCTACTTGTGAAAAGATATCCTAGAATTAAGAATAAAATCAAATGTTTCCCAATATCATGCAGTCTGCTGCAGAATAAGGAAAGCTAAGATTTGAACCAAAGATTGCTTTGCTTGTAAACTTTATTTTCTTGGTTTATTAAAACTTTTATTTTCAGAAAACTTGCAAAATAGAAAACTAAACTATTTGTTCAACTAATTTTTAAGATTTATATAGTTGTATACAGAATACAGATCCACAAAAGAAAACCTAACTATTAACTATTATCTATTATCCAAAGGTTGCAAGCTTGCACGCAGTAATCGATTTGCCAATATCTTCTTATAAGCTAAACAGTGCTTTAAAGTTTTATATTTGCTTGGCTAGGACTAGAAGTGAGCTAAGTGAGTTAGTTGTAAGAAAAAAAGACCAAGCAAACAGTTGCAACACTTTGAAGTTGACGCAGTCTTAAAATTTGGTAGAACTTTTCATAGCAGTCTGGATCCATGTAGTTTAAATTTTTGTTTAAATCGTGTTAATTTTTACAATTTTGCAGTGAATCAAACAGACGCGGTGTGAGGGGATGGCAAAATTTTTGGCAACTTTTAAAACTATTTAATACATCTTGGATCCAATCGGAGGCAGGTTTCAATTAAAAAAGAAATGAGATTATCTTTTTTTTGTGTTTTTAGAAAATATAATTACTGTTTTCTGACACGAAAAGAACTGTAATGATATCATTAATAATATATCTTAACTGTATTTTTCATCAACAGTAAAAGTACAGGGTGCCTTTCATCTTATCGGATATTCGAAATTGAGATCTTCGAAAAAATAATAGAAAATTTATATCTAAATGATAAAACAAGACATTCATATATATATATATATATATGTTGTCTATAGCCGGCCAAACCGGCTGGACCGATTGAGCTGAAATTTTTTGTGGACACTCATGGGTGGCCGGGGGGTATTACCGTGTTATGCGCTAAAAAATCTAACTCAAATTTTTAAAACAACATTTTTTCTCCACGGGCAACGCCGGGCCCTTCAGCTAGTATATAATAATAATATAAGAAATAATAATATAGAAAATATGCAAATTTACATGGAGAAACTACATTAATGAAGTATTCTGATTTCTGATGTCCTAACCTTTCTATTTCCTAACCTTTCTATGTCCTAACCTTTCTATGTCCTTACCTTTCTATGTCCTAACCTTTCTATTTCCTACCCTTTCTATGTCATAACCTTTTTATTTCCTACCCTTTCTATGTCATAACCTTTCTATTTCCTAACCTTTCTATTTCCTAACCTTTCTATGTCCTAACCTTTCTATTTCCTAACCTTTCTATTTCCTAACCTTTCTATGTCCTAACCTTTCTCTGTCCTAACCTTTCTATGTCCTAACCTTTCTATGTCCTAACCTTTCTATGTCCTAACCTTTCTATGTCCTAACCTTTCTATGTTATCTGTGTTTAAGTTAAAGATTTTATTTTAATATATACTAAATCTCTTTTTTCTTGTTTTTATTTCGACAGATGATAACCTTTAAACAAATATTCAAAGTTTTTTTTTGGAATCGCAGATTTTACATTTTTACCAAAATACATCTTTTTTTATTTTTCTGTTTTACTCTAAACTAATATTGAACCAGTGCTAAACGTACCGGCACGGCCTCTTGCGTGCAATGTGCATCATGCATAGAAGTTGTAACTTTAAAAGAGGGTATTGCTTTAACCCAGCATCAAAAATGCG